CTCCAGTAAAGCACATTCACATGAAAATTACTCTGAATTAAAAACACTGATCATTTATTGAACAGGATGGAATCATTTCAGATTTAAAGAACTTTGAGAGGTTTGAATTCTGAATAATACCGGACTTTTCCTTTAATATAAGCATATGATGCTTCATATGGTCTCAAGGCAGCCAGCCAATGTGTGGCTCTACTGCTGATCCATGTTGGATCTGTGCAATACACTGATGCTCACTTTTTAACATATTCCTGGCTAAACAACAACAACAATTCAGGGACTGGTTAGAGTGGTGTCAAAAGAAATAAAACAACTCTAGTCTGGATGGTGGAATATCTGCACATGATGGAAAGACTGGATTTATTTTAGGTTCAAAGCAGATTTTCAACAGATTGTCAGAAATCAGAACTGAAAGTTTCTGCTCATCCTCAGGAAACATCTGCAGGGTTCAACACAAAGTCTCTGCTAGCAGCAGCTGCAGAGACACTGGGGTCGTCTTCTTACTTGAGTGCACACCCAGAACCTTAAGTTGACCTCATGAGTTAATAATAAACCCTGTTCCATCACTGAACCGCCTATGAAACGAGCCCAAAGCATCACCCTACCAACCCTGTGCTTGTTGGTGGGAGGTGCTGCACATTATTACAAATAGTGACGTTCAAATGATCAGATTATCTCCTCATAAACACGTAGAGCAGGAATGCTTAGAGTGGAGATATCTGGGATGTTTACAGCTTCTCTGATCATAGCCTGGTCTGACTTCAGGTTACAGTTTCTGGGTCGCTCTCTGTTGGAAAGGTTGGAAAATTATTTACTGGACAAACTGCACCTGTATGTTCCTGAAAATTAAAAAGTAGAGAACATCAGGTGCTTATAGACAGAATCTAGCTGCTTCTTCCATCTAACAGAGACTGAGATAGGAATTCATTTTCCCATTTGGCCCCATCTGGTTGTGGGTTGATTCCATTCATTTCAGAACCGGGGAAACACCACAGAGTTTAACCTTATTCCGCTAGCGAACAGCAGCGGAGGAGGAGACTGTTTATTGAGGTGTGCTGGTCTCTGTTGCTAGGGGCAACACTGTCCTTTAAAAGCTGTAGTTGGTTGCTATGTAAACTAAATGATGATAAAACAAAAACAAAAAATGAATTTGTTGTATCGTATTCATTTGTTCATCATTATTTTGACTAGTCTATGTCCACTGGTTATTAAAGCTTCACCTTTCTGACATTAATGTGGAAGCTCAGCATATTACTGCAATTATCATAGAAAGTGCTTTTATTTGGGTAAATGACCAAAACAAAAGGAACAGAGGGAAGCAGCTTCCTCATCAGTGCAGAACGTGAGAAGCACTGCAGAGAACTGCAGATCCAATATGTTTTTACTTTCTTTACGTCTTCCTGCTTTAGCTTTTATATTGTGCATCCAAACTTATTTCAATAGTTATGCT